ATAGTAGTCTGGGCTGGAATTTGTTTTCATAGAGGAGTTGAAGTACTCTGCTCTATGCTCTTTTTGCCTTCATGGTTTGTGAAGACAAGTCGGCTGTAATTCTGATGGGTTTTCCTTTGAATGTGATCTGCTTCTTTTCTTTAGCATCTTTCAGTATATTATTTTTGTGCTGAATTTCTGGGAACTTGCCTAGCTTATGTCTCAGTGTGTTTTTAATTGAGTTGAGGTTACTTAGCATTCTCTATGCTTCGATTACCTCAATATTAGCATGTTTCCTACTATTTGGGAAGTTTTCTGCTAAAACTTTTACCCATATTTTTTTATTGTCATTTGTATTGACTCCTTCTTTCTCATTGATGCCTATTAGTCTCACATTGTTCATCTTTGCATCATCTTGCAGGTGATGGATTATTTTTTCCTGCATCCTAGTTGTTTTTAAAAAATCCTTTCTTACCTTTTCACTAGCTGCACCAGTGTCTTCAAGATCTGAAACTCTGTCTTCACTTTCACTTAAATAGTTTTGCAAGCTTGTGATTGAGATTTTAAATTCTTCGATATCTCTTTTACTCAGCTTCATGTGATCCATTTCTTTCCTGTATTGCTCATTCAAGGAATCCGTCATTTATCTGATCTCTTCAATTTTTTTTATCAATGTCTTCTTTAGAAGCAGTTAGTAAATAAATAAATAAATAAAATAAAATAAAAATATAGAAAGTGAGAAGAAATTATACCATAGCCAAGTGTACATTTCAATGTCAAGAAAAAAAGAAACATATTCTACCAGATGATTTCAGTTTTGTTGTTATTTTAAAAGAAATTTTTTTATGGATTCTGTAAAATGGTTTCTTCTCTTCATCCTTCCCTAGAGCTAGTTTCCTAGTTGAGAAACGTATAACACTCATTGTTTATACATTTTATTAAATTCTTTTACTGCAGTGTTTTTTTCAGGTTCAATTTCCTCCCTATGTTTCTGTAGTTGATTCTGTACTTCAGATGCTATGAGTTCTGAGAATTCTTTTCTTATTTCAGAAAATTTGGCTCTGAGTTCCTCTATGACTTTGTGCTGTTGCTTATTTACTATCAACACTATTAATTTGTACATTTGAGCTGAGC